ACTGACAGACAAGAACGGTTTGACCTAAAAATATCAAATTTGAAAATACATCTTGGATGCCCTCGAGGTAAGCTTAAACATACCAAAAATTAATAAAGTGAACTGTCCCTTTAAGCAAAATTTTGATGAGCAAATATTGTCACATTTAGTGTATTGAAACGTGGGTGAGAAGGTGACTCCACTGTCTGTTGTCTCTTGAGACTTCATACCGCTGTCATGCCTGGTAGTAGCTCATTGAGTTTAATTCATCCCTGTACAAGCATATTGTTTAACACTGCTCATGTCTATGGAAAGAGAGGGAGGGAAGTGCATATGGTGAAGCGGCCAGGTTTGCCACAGGCATTCTCCTGTTGTCATGGCAGGATGGGGAATTGTCATTGGGTGGGTCTTTGCTTCCTTGGCTCCGTCTGCAGCAATCTGTCTTCACAGCTAGGTGAATGTGTAGAGGGTGCTGTCACTGGAAACACAGTGTCCTTGATAAGCAAACCTCTAGGAAGCGACGCATATGGGAACTCCCCTGTGCATTGAGTCCTTTGTGTTTGTACAATCAGTGAAGATTTTGTGGCACAGCGCTGAACCATGGGAAGACCAAAATATTTATTTGCAATGTAAGCATTAAGATCAGCAGCATTTTTGAAGAAGAAGTATCTTTATGCACTTTTGGGAGAGTGAATAATGCTTTGTTCATATTTTTTTATTAGGGCAGTCTAGGCTTTAACAGAGATTTTTGCAGATGCAAATGCATCGTTCTATGGAAGTCTGACTTTTAATAAAAGATATGTAAACTCCCAATTGTGAGCTATAAAGTCAGAATTGCGAGATATAAACTCGCAATTGCAAGAAAAACGTCAGAATTTTGCGAGTTTATTGTGAGAAATTCTGCATGCAAAAGTCACGCAATTCTGTATACGAGTTTATATCTCCCAATTCTGGTATTTTTCTTGAAATGTAAATGGCTTTAAAAGGGTTAAATCATTTCAGTAATCATTAGTGCTAGATGATGGCAAATGTCATCTACAATTTATACAGCAACAATTAAATATCCAATATCTACTGGTAACAACTGATAACCAATATAGGGCATAATATCATGCCCTTCTGTGTATGGTTGGAACAGTTTTGCTCAACTGTGAGGAAAACTGTCTTTGTGAATTTATTATTTCCAGTTTATTTATTTTCCAGTAGCTTTCGTGTTGTCAATGGGAGTAGGTGTGATTGAGTGCTGTTGAATGGCTTATTTGAGAAGCTTATCGGAGTGTAATTTTCTTGAGAGCGCAGCCAGTCATCATTTATAATCGAACACCTGCGTGTACCGTGTTGATAGGCCAGTCAGTCAATGTTGGTTTAATGTCAGGTTGTTGGTCCTGGGTAAATAATAGATCACATTTTTTTTTCATGCCAGCTTGCTTTTGTTAACATTAGCGTGTGTGTGTGTATGAGTGACCAGTGATCAGTCTGAGACAGATGGGTAAATAAGGTCAGATTCGATGTGTTGGCAGGCTGGCCCTCAGCCCGTCTGCTCTTGTTGCCCTGTTTAAATTTGATCTGTGTGAAGCAGCACTCCCAGACCCAACTAATGTTCTGTCTGAATCAACGTCTGTGCTGAACTTTAGGTAAAGATTGAAGCTTTTTCAATCATTTTCCTAATTATAACACTAGTTGCTTTTGGATTGAAGTGTGTGCAATCCATAAGGGAGCAATTACTCATTAAAGCCATCATGTTTAATAAAAGCGTTTGACATGTTATCTGTATGCAAATCAAACCCACACACTGGAATTAAACAGGCCTCAGTCCGCAGCCTATTAATCAGCTATTATTCGTCTGACTTTCTCCTTTGTTGTTTGCGTTTTGCAGCAGTTATGATGCCTCACTTGATCTTTGGATTATAGATTTCAAATGTAAAGTCCTTCTATTCAACCGATTTATGTCGCTATCATGAAAGATCTGCATTGTGCTTACGGTGACAGACTTATCATGTGAATTAGGACACAATACACCTTTATCAATAATTGACATGGTTGCTGGTGGCGTAATAAAAACCAGCACGAGATGTGTGTGGTGAGAGATGCTGGTGTAATTGTAAGAGCCCCGAGTTACAACTTACACGGATACAAATAGCAAACTGATGTGGTTAAAAGGAGGGTGCATATGAGGCCGTGTTCACAGAGGAACTGGTTATAACAGAACATGAGCAACATTAATCTTATGTTTAATTGGTTTTGGAGATATTGGACTCATGCACCATGTGTGATAACGTAGGCTATTGATAGATCTTGCCTTAAATGGAAAATTCTATACACCGTACAGTAGTGCATTGTGTATATAAACACAACGGGCATTTTTAGTGAAAATAGTGGAATTGTATTGTTGCATTTCTTTTATGAGGTGTGTAGGGCTCCTTGATCAAGTAATGGACCCGGATATCCTAGAATCATTCACTTAACTGTCAATTTACAAGCATCAAGTAAGCAAATCTCATTTTGTATTTGGCAACGGACCTTGTGCTGGCATTGAATTTGGCCATAACTCGAGTGTGTCTGTCCTCCAGTAATGCACTGTCAGGATTATGCTTTGTTCTGCTTAGTTTCATTGTGTTGGTTCTTGTTCCCTGTATTGTTTCCTTGTGTGCGCCAGATTTATCACATACATTCACTGGTTAGGTTACTCATTTAGTTTCCTCTTTTGCTGTGTATTTAATTCCCTTGTTCAGTTGTCTGTTCAACGTTGTGTTATACATTATATATAAATACATTATTGTTTAAAAGTTTTTTGTAAAAAGAAATTAGATTTTTTTTTCAGCAAGGATACATTAAATTGATCAAAAGTCGCACTAAAGACTTTTATATTGTTACTAGAAAATCTATTACAATTTCCACATAAATATTAAGCAGCACTATTTTCAACATTGTTAATAATAAGAAATGTTTCTTAAAAACATTAAATGAGCATATATTAGATTTATTTCTAAAGGATCGTGTGACACTGAAGACTGGAGTAGTCTAATGATGCTGAAAATGTATCTTTAACATCACTGGAATAAATTACATTTAACATCATAATATCATTTCATTTAATATTTAAAAATATATTTTTATAATATTTAATTTATAAAATATATTAAATAATACAATAATTATTTAAAATTGTAATAATCCACAATTCTTACCAACCCCAAACTTTTGAACAGTTATATATATATGAATTTTTATATATATTTTTTAAAGTATAATTATTGCCTTATTGCCTCATAGTATCCTATGTCTGTGCACTGTTTAAACCACAATGTTTTTGACATTGGACAGATGAGATTTTGGGGTATTCGAATTATAAGAGAAGCATTTTATTTTCTGTCTGGCAGTCTATTGATATTGACCTCCACTTTCTAGTGTCTCTTTTGGGACCCTACTTGCATCAATTCAATAGAGCTTGGCCTTCACTCGTGAAATGTCACATCGTTTTTTAATTTCACCCTGACAGGGACTTTCACATGGCCACCACAATAGACCTGTGGAAGACCGTCTCCATGGCTACTAGAAGTTCCCATTTTCTTCGTATTCCATGAGGAGGCCCTAAACTGGGGTCAAGCAAGTTTTTGCTATCACTGGGGGGAGGGCATCATGTTTACGAAACGTGCTTCTCAGGATCAGTTTGCTAATATAAGTCCCATTTACATCATGTGTAAATGATCAAATCTGGCTTCATGAAAACATGGTGCTCTTATGCTGATTGCAGTGACGACTATACAACATTCCTCTGTGAATGACCTCTGGCCTGACATGCTATCAGGCTGCTACCAGATGGCTTAAAACTATACAGGAATATACATATACATATGTATATATTTGCTTATACACAACTATTATAAGTGAAAACGCTCACTGATACTCATTAAGGCAAAACATGATAGATAATATCATGTCAGAATGATTATATCAATAGATGATCTATTGGATGGTTAGGGTAAATTGCACTTATTTTGTTTTCTGAGAAACATGCAAATATCTTATGTAGCTTCCAATGGGCAGTACTATATCTTTGAACAAAATAAGAAAAATGTACACATCCTCATCCTATTCAAAATATATTTGGGAATCTTTGGAATTATAGTTCCCCCTTTTTTTGTATGGAATATATCAGTATTTATTATAAATTATATATCTGTGCACATTATATATAATATCTTCAATCAAACTCCATCTTGTCGTGAGCGACATCTCTTCTCTGATTATATGTTTTCTGGCCCGAGGGCGGGGCCAACCTGTCACACACATGACATCACAGCAGAATACCACAACCATCCAATCAATGACCTGATTGACAAAATCAAGTCCCGCCTTAATTTCTTTTTCTTTTTCGAGAAGCCATTTCTCTCAGATATATACATCACAACAGGAAAGAAAAGACTATTGCAACTTCTGTTTCACAATGACTTTAAATACCCCTGAACCATTGTATTGTTACCCTTGTCAATAGTCTGTTGGTGGGTCATGTAGTGCCAGTGTAACACTAGGGAATATGATTGAGAACAAGCTTAGCTTGATACCCCGTTTATGGTGAAGGGGACAGGCCATGGCAATGAGCTGTTATAAGAGATCACATTATTGGATGAAAGACTTGTTTTGAGGCTTTGAGAGAATTGTGAAGAACAGTGAGGTCATTTAGCTACCTAGTACAAAGATGTCTTACTACAGCACATTAGGTAATCTATGTCATGCTATGTCGTGCTGTCATTGCTTTTGGAGCATTCATTAATAAAAGGCTTTCTGATATGTGTTGGGATTGAGAAACTGCAGCCAACTGCACTATTTATAGCGCAGTTCTCTGCCTGTATAGCTTTGCTGTTTTTTTCCTTTCTCATCCACGTCTTTGTTTGACATAATGAAATCATGCCTGGTTTCCAGAACTGTGTATTTAAAGAGCTGTTTCTTTTTCTTATGAGGTGACTTCAGGTCATATGTTTCATTTTAGAGCTCTAAAATGAACTCTTTCCTTTCTGCAGGATGATAACGATGGGATCCCATGGTCAGAAGAGAGAGTGGTCCGCCGGGTGCTCTACCTCTCCCTTAAAGAGTTTAAGACGGCTCAGAAGAGCAAATTGGAGAATGGCACTGGCCTAGTTAATGGTGAGTATTCCTCTTCTGTAGAGCAGTGCTTTCAGTGATCTACACCACAGATGGATACTGAACAGCTGCATTTCTGTGACATCTGACGCTGTTGCTTTCAGCTGCTATTCTGTACCACTTTAGAGAAAAATACGTGGAGAATATTGTACCTTAACAGTGGCAATATAATATAATAAAGTTTTATGATGATGGTTAGTATTTGATGTCACCATATGGCAGAGACTGGGCACATGAATATTAATTACCTTCATATTGACATTGCTAGGTAATCTTTTTAGCACATCCAGGCATATTAGTTAATTAATATTCAACTTGGTTGGCATATTTATAAACTCCTGTGCAACTTTATAATATCATGATGTTCTATGCTGTTTTGGCATTGCCAAAGACAGTTTTATGTTTGCTGAGGTATTTTTATTATGAGTAATCCAGATATTAAATGTGTCTCAAAAATGGCCTATTTTGTTACATAAATGTAAGTTTGTTCTTCATTTATTAATTTTGATCAATTTACAGGTTCAAATTAAACTGAGATCTACAGTTCAATGTGGTGTTTCAAAGGTGCATTGGTATATGATGAATTATTTTGCCTTAGATGCTGAGCTCATGTGTGTGCAGCCAGCTGTGACATAGCAACACATGGCACTGTGGGACTTAACTTTATTTCCTCAGCCTCTCAATGGTTCATTAGGAATATTATTTTTCTGCCATGATTGCACTGGAAATGTGTGAGCAAAGTAAATTATGCCCTGAATAATGCCCTCTCTGTATGGGTTTATGTGCCGAGGCTGCAAAGCGCTCTCACTGCTCTCAAATCTCTGCACTCTAATGGGGTGAACTCAGTGACCCGCCTGGCTGTGGATGATGCAGTGCATCATCTCGCGGAGAATGTCAAGGGCATGAACAGAACACCTCATGAGCTCACCGCTTTATGCTTTCAAAAACACTTAAGGATTCCTTTGTAATTGGTTTGTTATCAAAAACATTGCATTGCATTTCAGAGAGTCGTGCACATACTCTGCAATAGCATCCTTCAGAATTCTAAAAATTGTAAAGCGATATTATCCTGTGCAGTTAGTAGCTGCATTCTAGTTCACAAGATTCTGCCAAAGTTCACTCACTTAACTTCACTAATTATGACTCACTGACTACGTTTACATGCAGCCAATAACCCATTCAAAACCGGGATATTAGCAATAATATAGCTCCTAAAGTATGCTGTGCTGTGTCTCGCCATGTGTACTTCCGGTATACTGCACGCAGATTTTTGTACGCGCCGAGAAGTTTCTCTACTCAAAAGACCAAGATTCATTGAAAAGGGGTACCCCAGGTATAATACCCCAGTTTTTAAAATTGCCTGTGTTGCCTGTGTTTACATGGCCATTCGCGACCGGGTTATTGCTAATATCCCGGGTTTGAATGGGTTATTGGCTGCATGTAAACGTAGTCACTGTCATGTTTAAGAAACCAGTTTGAGAAGATCTGAGCTTTGTGACATGGTATGTTTTCCTGCTGGAAGTAGGCATCAGAAGATACACTGTGGCCATAAAGGGAAGGACACGGTCAGCAACAATACTCAGGAGTAGGCTGTGGCTTTTAGTCTAAGGCTCAATTGGTTCCAATGGAACATTGCTCAATTGGTTCCCAAAGTGTGTCAAGAACACATCCCCTACACCCAGTGCTCAATGTTGAAAAAAGGGTGCCTTTCTATCAGCTTGAACCAGTCTGACCATTGTCCTCTGACCTCTGGCCTCTGACTGGCATAAACAAGGCATTTTCGCCCACAGAACTGCCACTCACTGGATATTTTTTTCGGGCCATTCTCTTTAAACACTAGAGATGATTGTGCATGAAAATCCCAGTAGATCAGCAGTTTCTGAAATACTCAGACCAGCCCGTCTGGCACCAGCAACCATGCCATGTTCAAAGTGACTTAAATCCCCTTACATGTGATTGGCTGATTAGATATTTGTGTTAATGAGCAGTTGAACATGTACCTAATAAAGTGGCCAGTGAGGCGGTTTTAGACCCCTGTGTTTCTCTGTATACATAACCCTCAAGTTGCAGTTGCCCTCTGTCAGTTATTGTCTATGTTTGTGGTTGTTCTGTTCCAGTTCTTTGAGATTGCTTAGATGCCTACGTATTGTTAATGAGTTATTATTCAGATCTTTTGCACATAGATTCTGATCCTTTTTTTATCCATTCCTGCTGCAACCACAGTGTGACAGAATAACGGACCATAATAAATGGATCTAGCAGCAGGTTGGATCCTCCACCTCTCCCAGGGGGATCTTTCCCTTGGGATAGCTATATAAGGATTTTAGATTTGGCCCCTTTAGTTCATTACAACATCGACACCCTCTGCATATTTTTTTGCTTTCGCCATTGACTCGTCCCTCCACCCCTTTGGTTCTTTTGGGCTCCTCCAGCTTCACCTCAGTACTTGGGTGCACCGACTCTGCCTCAGTCCTCAAGATGTTGCAAGATGGGAGATGGCCCCATACATATCAATGGATCCGCTATTATTATTCTCAATTTTGTATGAGGGAAGAGTTGCTTCGAATTTGTTGAACAACTGAACATTGAAACAAACATTGCTTCGAATTTTGTATGAGCACATGTTTAACATGGCTGCTTAACATGACTGAAACCTTAGAGAATTGTAACAGGACACTGCAATTTTCCCTACTTCCTGTCAGTTTATTCTGAGTGTGCACTTAGTCTGAGTGTCCACTTGTGTTTGTTCGCTGCAGACTGAATGATTGGAAAAATCCTGTTTCAAACCTCTTCTCCATTTCAGAGGCATTGAAGAGTTGCTATGGATGCTACATCCTTTATATATATTTTCATTTCTAATAGATGCATGTCATTGCAGTGTTTAAAATAGTATGGAGGAAATTGTTTTATTCTGTTCTGTATTTATGTATGTCTATTGCTTAAACCACACCTCTTTTCCCAGGCTCCTTTGCAAATGGTCATTTGACTGGTTTGGGAACTAAAGCTGGGCTATTTGCTGGAAGCTGTAAGTCAGAGAGGACACAACATGCAGTTCAAAGCAAAGACCACAGCCATGAATACTCAATTGATGGGCCTGTCAGGAAAAGGTGAGTTTACTGAGCCTTTTCTCTGTGAGATTTCCAGCATATTGTGGTTTAAGTTAGTACATGGATAAAATGTGGTTTCATAGATACACATCATGATGATTGAACTAGGTGGGTGGCCTCGACATTTCACGTAGTGCAGGGGTCTCAAACTCTACTTAACTGGGGTACCGCTGGAGGTAGAGTCTGGGTCAGGCTGGGCCGCATCAAGTAATCAACAAAAAAAAAATTTATTTTAAGTATTCCAAAAAAGGAGTACAACTGATCCGAACGTTTCTTCTGAACTGTTCCTCTGAATTTGAACATTCCTTTCTCTACATGACTGGTTCTTCATGAGCTGACCTTCTGACAGTTGAAGTTCATTTTACAAACTTTCTTTTTTTTTTCCTTATACACAACATATTTGTGATACTTATATTTGCTTAGGTCATTTTTATTTTCAACACTAATAAAACACTAATATTATATTAAATGTTTTTTGGAAGGCACATTTCCTTTTTATTATACTTAGAAAAACAATTATTGCTTTTGAAATACAAATATTTGCAGTCATGTCTTCTTTCTACACATGTATAGTGTCTCAGGCAAATTACTGACTTTGAACAAATCAAAGCAAACCTTCTTCTCAACCTGTTGGACATATATTACAAGCTCAAAATTATTATTCTCACATTCTTTTAGAGCAGGGGTCTCCAACACATTGCTCGCGAGCTACCAGTAGCTCGTGGCCTGATTTGGTGGTAGGCTGGTAGCTCGCCTTGGGCCTGTTCATATGTCGCGCTCACATATTTTAGGAGCTCAAGTTCGTTATTTCAAATGTTGGCGCTCATGAAGGGCGCTCATAATTGAAGGGCTTAATTGAAGCTCATTTTTTCCAGGCACAGTATGTTTGTACTTCACGGTTGTCTATGACAACTATTGACAACAAACCCACCGTAAGCTGTCACAATAGTATCTATGGTAGCCCATAAGGGATAAAAAAAAAATGAAAAGAAAACGCGGCACACGCAATGACGGGCCACACTAACTTTAAACTTTCATGTCAAATAGGGGGCCACAAAATATCATTGGGCCGCGAGTTTGAGACCTCTGTTGTGGAAATGCGCAACGGTTTTGTGTTGTACGTCAGACGCAGGCTCACTATTGGCCGACCCTGGTCATGTGTGTGGTGCGTGTACAACCTAGCTTGCGCAGTTTCACTGTTACCCCTTTTCCACCAAAGCATTGAGAGCCGGTTCGGTCTAAGGTTCGGAGCCGGTGCCTGCGCGCGAACCAGTTCTTTGTGTTTCGACAGCCATAGAACCGGTTCTCGGCCAGGAAACCTGGTTCCAAAGCGGCACCAACTCTTTGCTGGACTAGAACCGTTCTTTTACCATGTCATGCTTACGTCAGGGGCTGGGGCGGGTTTAGATGTGTTCATCTTTTTTGACTATTGCAAAGCCAGGAGAAACATTTGCATAAACACGGTGGAGTCCGCCTTTGTAGCCTAATTGTTATGCTTGAAGTTTGCGCAAGAGTTTCTATTTTTTTTTTTTTTTACATATAAGCAAAGAAGAAAACAGTCACAATATAGAACAAATAAATGGAAAGAAAAAAAGACACAAGACAGGGGTACATACTGTAACTAATCAGAAAATGTTACCTATCAAAAGAAAAGATTAAAAGACTTGCATATTTCAATTGTTTTTAAAGCCTTCTTGGCACACAAGTTAGAGATAACCCCAAAGTAATGTTGTACTTGCAAGCGTTTCTAGCTAAGACACATGGCGACATATACAGTGACGTAACAACGTAGTTCCCTGGGCGGACAAACGGGTTCAAACAGGTTCTGAAAGGGTTCGCAAAAGTTGAACCAACTCCGAACCAACTTTGAACCAGAACCAGTTCCGAACCAGTTCTTTTTTGCTGGAAAAGGGGTATACGTGAAATCTCGAGGCCAGCAGAGAAGGAAATGAATAGTTGAATAAAGTCGTTATTTTTGTTTGTTTGTTTGCACACAAAAAGTATTCTCGCCGCTTGATAAACAAACGCGAGAAACGTGAGATTGAGCCACTGTAGTCACTTGGACTATTTTAACGATGTCCTTAATAACTTTTGGTTATTAAAGTTTCAATCCCAGGAGTGTGATCCAGCTCTCAGATTTTTATCAAAAATATCGTAATTTGTGTTCTGAAGATGAACGAAAGTCTTACATGGTGGGAACAACGTGAGGGTGAGTAATTGCTTTTTAGTAATTACTTTTACTATTTATTTTTGGGTGAACTAACCCTTTAACAATGGCTCAGGGCATGAAATGGTACACCTATGTAACTTTCATTGCCAAAGAGAACCAGTATAAAGTTAGATTCTAGCAAATTCTAGATTCTAGCAAAATTCAATTGGTGTAGCTGGTCAAACATGGGTCTTGTGGGTTAAGCCTATTGGAAACAAGCATCCAAACACAACGTTGGCCAATTAAAAATGACTTACACAGTCAGACATTTTTCTGAGCATTTATGTCAAACCAAACTGCTTTCCTCTGCAGGTCTTCTATAGGATTAGATTAGTTACTCTTTTCCTAGCAAAGGAGCGAGTCAGATCGCTATGATTGCCTTTTTCCTCCCATTGATTCCAAAAATGTGGTTTGTCAACTAGTTTTTAGTCTCAATAAAACATGAGGCATCAAATGAAAGTATCTTTGTAAAAAAAAAGAGCTTGAACTGAGCTTCAATCATTTATTCTCATATTGTTCAAAACCCACATGACTTTCTTTAGTGTCACATAGAAAGGAAAAAGAAAGCTTGATCTGCATTCATTGTAATTGCTTGGAGAAGAGCGACCAATGCAAGCCTTTAATCTTGAATGCTGAATAAATGAAGGATGGAGGGAGATTTTCATTTCTAACAGAACTAATCTAACTAAACTAACTTTATATTCCCTGTTTCTCATAACAGGCCAAGACTCCAGGCTCAGAGGAAGTTTGCTCAGTCTCATCCCTGTTCTCCCAATGCCACCCCGCTGAAAGCGCTGGAGGCCATGCCCCCGAGCCCAGCCGCACCGCACAACCATCTCACAAGATGCAAACCCAAAACTGAAGACTTCCTCACCTTCCTCTGTCTACAAGGTGGGTCTGCTCTCCTTCTATCATTGTCTGTCTTCATTTCCTCACTCTCTCAGACTCTTAAAATGTTTACAGACTCAATAATTCTTTACCTCTGGGCAGCGCACATTCACCTCTCACATGGGAGTCTCGGTTGTGTGTGTGACTCTCTTGTGTGTGTAAATGTTATTTACAGTGTTTGTGTCTTGGCTGGTCTCCTAATGTACATTTTCAATTCAATTCAAACCCTTTCAGTAAGCGAGTCAAAGGTGACAATGGCAAAGAAGAGCTCCAGAAGATGTTTAAGTAGATTAGGGATGTCTTCTTGTCCATGTTGCTTGTTTAATATTCATGTGGAGTGGAACTATGGTCCAATGGGATTTCAGTGTGGGCAGAGCTGTTATACTATTCGAGTTCATAGGGAGAATTAATTAGAAAATAAATTTAGATTCTGGTTTATACATGAAGGTTGTTTGTTGTCCTGATCCTTAACATAAACAGAATATTTCATATGTATATAATATTCCATATACATATATATATAATACCATAATAAACTAAAACGATTTTGCGTGAGATTTTGAAATAGTTTACTTCTTGTTTTGACCACCAACTAAAACTATTAAGAGTTGTTTTCATTAATTGAAATAAAGCTGAAATAAAATTGAAATATACATTTTAGATGAAATACAGACACACATTTTGAAGTACTAAAATTACTAAACTAAAATGAAACAAAAAATAGACATATAATATAAATAAAAATGACAAAAAAAAACCTGAAAATGAGCACTTTTAAATTATCTGATTTAAAAAAATAACACACAGTTTAAGGTGTTTACATGACCTTGTGGGATATGACTCAAGCAATTAAGCATAATTGGCTAGTGTAAATCTGTGCATGTAAACATTGAGGGTATCAGTCTGGATTTGTGACAGCTATAAATTCTGCTGCAGTCTTTCATCCTTTTTCATCTCATGGCAGAACAAACACAGAGGACACAAATCGAGTCATACTTTCTCGGATTCTCTCTCCTTTCCCACTCACTTACATTTCTCTGGCAGGCTCCTTTGAGATGGTTGACTTTCTCCATCTCTCTTCTCTCTCGCAAACGTCTGTGTAAAGACAGGAAACAGACTGATTGGATTTGCCATGGACTCTTTGGCTAAGAGCAAAGTGGGTTAATTGATTTTCAAACATATAGAATGTAAATGAGAAAGTTTTTCCCAGTCTCCATTCGTCCCTGTCATCTATCAAACCTCTTTTCAGTATTTAGTTAGAACTGAGCACAAATGGAAATGTGAGAGTGGAATTGTGGATCAGTTTATGGATTTTTAAAATATAACCAGAGCCTGTAGTGTCACATAAGTTAAGAATGATTTAAGCCATAACTCAGACACACTGGCAGCTGGTGTTTCTCATGAGTGGGGAAGCACAGATGTCACTCATCAATGTGCATTATGAAAAAAAAAAATTTAAAAAGAAAATATTTTTTTGTCTCTGCTTATACAAGCTTGTTCTTGATCTACTACTAAACAGTGAAATTATATATATATAAAAAAAATTGATCATGTTCAAAACTACATGTATATAATTTACTTTTGAGACATTTATTTTTAATTTTATTTTATTTTTAATCAAATCAGTATATTAGAATGATTTCTGAATGATCCATTTGGCTGCTGAAAATTCAGCTTTGCCATCACAGGTATAAATTACATTAAAATATTTGAATATAGAAAATGGTTCCGGTATTTTAAATTGTAAAATATCTTACAATTCTATTGTTTTACTGTATTTCTAATCAAATAAAGGCATTTTAAAAAGTATATAAAAATACCAACCACAAAATCTGAATGGTACTAATACAGTTATTTATTTTATACTATTTTTATGTAATATATAATTGTATTACTACCATACCAAAGTTTGTGGTTGGTGTGTGTGTGTGTATATATATATATATATATATATATATATATATATATATATATTGGTTTGTTTACAACCAAGCTTGTGATGAGATTACTGAAATCCCTTTTTTGGTTGCTCCCTTTTAGCCTGTGTCTCTCTCTCTGTTTATCATTCTCCATCAGCCTATAAGGGACAGAAGCAAAAACAGATTCGGGTTCCCAGAAATCCTCAAGCAATGTCACACATTGCTTCATGAAAGAATTCATATTAGAGAATGACATGAGTCGTAATTTTTGTCTCTTTCCAAAACTAATAGGATACTTGGACTAAACATAGACCTCTTTCCTGCAGATTCCAAAATGATTCATGTTAAACAATGAACGTGAGAGTTTCATACTTCTCATATCGAGTAGTATTGTGAGATGAAAATCACATTCATTAATATTCACTCTGAAATGGCTCTTCAGAATCTCAGGGCATTATCAGAGAGGAATCGAAGAATCATTCAGTTGCCTCTTGAGATGTAAACAATAGCCAATGGGTCAAAGCCCGCAGGAGCCCTTATTAAAGCCCTTGATGATGGAGGACTGGCCTAAAGAGCCATTCTCCTTAATCTTAGGGGGCCCAAAAATCCTTTCTTTCACAATTCAGCTCAGCTCCCATTTCACCTGGATATTATAGCTCGCCTTCCATAACCAGTCGCTTATAAGGTTTCACATAGTTCATTTCTATTGATCTCAAATAATGGCAGATCATGAACAGGTTGCAATATAAATGTAACACTTTGTTGGTTATTGTGGTTTGAGAAGTGGACGGATTCAAAAGCTTCCGGGCCACTTCTCTTCTCTATTTCTCTCCTGTTGGCCCCATTCCCCACCCCCTCCTCACACAACACACAACACACACACACACACACACACACACACACACACACACACACACACACACACACACACACACACACAATCACATGCTATGGCACATGCAAGCACCCAGTGACTCTGGTGCAGATAAATGGCTATTGAGGGAATGTGGAATAAAGCTTGTGAACAGGCTCTCCATTGTGAGCAGTGAACCCTTCAGTGAGGATCAGTAGCACATGCGATGAGCACTAGACTGGACCACTGTACCGTCACAATCAACGCCTCTTTCTTACAGTGCTGCATGGGACAGTGAAGTTAAACAGGATAAGCAGCTTTGCACAGTGCACAAATACACACTAGAGTTTTAGGAGCACAGAAACAAACGTCTTATATTTGATAGAAACTACTTATAGATAGATTAAAGCAAAAAAAAAAAAGGTAATTGGTTACTTACCATCATGTCATTTCAAATCTGTATGACTTTCTTTCTAATGCAGAACAAATAATTTAAAAAGTTTCAGTCAGTGAGGTCCTGTGTTGTTGTGGACCCCATTGATTATCATTATACGTTGCCGTTCAAAAGTTTGGGGTTGGAAATATGTATTTTATTATTATTATTTGAGAAGTATCTTATGCTCACCAAGGCTGCATTTATTTGGTTAGTAAAAACAGTAATTTTGTGGAATAATATTTGAATGATCTTCTATTATATAAAATGTAATTTAGTCTGTGATGGCATGGCTGAATTTTCCGCATCATTACTCCAGTCTTCAGTGTCATATGATCCTTCAGAAATCATTCTAATATGCTGATTTGCTGCTCAAAAAAACATTTCTTATGATTTTCAATGTTGAAAACAGTTGTGCAGCTTAATATTTTTATGGAAAGCGTGATGCATTTTAAAATATTTCTTTATGAATAAACAGATCAGAAGAACATTATTTGAAATAGATTTTTTTTTTATTACAAAAACAAATTTTAATGTTACTAGCTAGCTTTTTGTAAATGTAATTTTAATAGCAAAAAAATATTTAAAAAAAAAATAAGTAAAAAAAAACTGACCTCAAACTTTGGAACGGTAGTGTATGAACAAAAACTTTTTTTTATTTATTTGTTTTATTTTTATTTTATTTATTTTTTTCAAATTTCTTTAGCATGGCAGAGAAGACAGTCATACAGGTTCGAAACAATATGAGAGCGAGTAAATGACGACATAATTGTAATTTTTTTGTTAAATATCCTTTCAATGACTACTAGGTTTCTTTCAAAGCAAGACATAGATTTAATCTTTTTTTAATCTCAGCTGGTAGCCATTATACTGTTCTGTTTATGTTTCTCTCTCTCTCTCTCTCTCTCTCTCTCTCTCTCTCTGTCTCTGCATGACACTTTCTCACTTTGTCTTTACCCTCCTTCTCATTGGTTCAGGCTCTGCTGCATTGCCCAGCAACATGGCATACTTTGGTAGTGCTAAGGATGATGAAGATGTAGACGAGGAAGATGATGAGGAAGAAGACAGTGCTAGCAATGCCCCTGCTTCCTGCCAGTCCACTCCTCGCAAGAGCAAAGGACATAACAAATGCATTGCCAACGGTCATGGTACGTACACCCCTGAAACACTCCATCCATTGAATAGTTAAAGTGTGTTAATAACCACAAACACACACACTTATTCCCATAAACTTTATCTTGCCTTGCGTTTTATAATCCCTTTTACTTAAAATGGCAATTTAGAGTCCATTTTACTGTGTAGCATGTGTAGTGTATTATTGCACTGCCAGTAGCAGACAGGCTGGACATTTGGTTCCATTTAAGGACCCCAGTGAGGTGAGTTATGGCCCGGCCTCTTTCCACACCATACAGTTAATGAGCCATGACTATACACAGCCCTCACTGTCAGATTGCCTACATTTGCTGTATACCATCCATATAACACAAGGTATTCAACATATGAGTATGCACATATGCAAAAAAAGAACAAAAAAACAAAGACATGATTCTAATATAAATAAAACATTCAAAAGTTTGGGGTATTTTTTTTTTTTTCTTAAGAAATAAATGCTTTAAGCAAGCAAGAATGCAAGAATGCACTAAATTGATGAGTAAAGACATTGATAATGTTAGAAGATTTCTATTTCAAACAAATGCTGTTATTTTGAACTTAAGTATACTGGGGAAAAAAACAGTTCTGCACAACTAGTTTTTAACATTGGTTTATAATAAGGAATGTTTCTTGAGTAGCAAATCAGCGTATGAGAATAATCATGTGAAAATTCAGCTTTGCCATCACAGTAACAAATTAGACTTGAACATGTACTGTAAATTTAAACCTTAATAATGTTTACTGTTTAATGTATTTTTGATCAATTAAATGCAGCCTTGGTGAACATAAGAGACTTCTTTCAAAACATTAAAACATCTTACCAACCCCAAAACTTTGAATGGTAGAACATATTTTACGTTTATTTTTTTATTTGATGTTTTAATTTGTATTCACAATAAATATTTAATATAAGTGTATACATTTCAGTGTTAAAAGATAAGTTGTGCTACAAATATTCATATTATACATCATTATGAATATTTGTGTCTTATTTTCACATTCATTTTGTCATCTATTATTAATGACTCCACTGGCCACTATGCTCATTTTCCTCTTTCTTTTGAGATGTGCGTACTAATTATAGCTAACAGATTAAAACAGGCCAAGCTGAATTTAGCTGAGATTCCATTTAATAAAATGCTGAAAGCCACTCTTTCCTAGTGTTATGAGATCTTGGCCCATTTCAGTCTTTGGGTTTGTAACCAGACCCTGTTACCGACTCAGCAAAATCTGCAGTGTAATCCGACACCTCAGTAACCCAATATTGCTCCACATACTCCACACATGTCTGAGGGGCTCCTGACAAACTACAACCTCACGACCGTCACCTCGCCGGAGGTTCGAGGTCAGATTGTCTGTGTCCAAAACTGGCAACAGCTTTCAGGGTCTTTATTAGGGCCCAAGCCCTGAAAGGGCGAAGGCCCTATTGTTTTCCTTGGGATTATTATTCTTTAGTATTATTATTATTTTGCTACCTTTTGGGCACTTTTGGGGCCCTTAACGTGCTCGAAAACTCTTGAAACTTTGCACACGGGTCAGAACCCGCGGCCATCAGAGCCGGGCTGAAGATGGTACCCGGGCGTGGCAGGGCAGCTCGTCAGCGCCCCCTGGAACGGGGTCCGAACACTTGGTCCATAACTCAAACACGCTTGTATGTAATAATATGAAACTCGGTACACATGTTGATCTCATCGTTTCATCTATACCTCGCGCTCTTACTTTTTACCCCAGCCCAACAGGAATTTGGCTATTGAGGTTTGTTTGTAAAACGCTCGCAATGGAATGTCAAATACTCCTCCTAGAGCTTTGATCCACATTCGACGAAACTCGGTCAGCGTGAAGTCAAGACATTGAGGATGAAAGCTTGTGTGGGGATTTTTGATATCTCGAACGGTTTGTCCGTGGCGAGGAAACGAAATCATGGCGAGAAACGTGAAACAGGAAGTGTGTTATAACTTCAGCATACATTAACTGATCTTGATGAAACTTCAGCAGTGTGTTCGCTGTAAGAGGACGATCACATGGATGTCACTATTGTGAGTCAAAGTTATAGCGCCACCAACTGGCAGCAGGAAGTGTGTCACTTTCAAAATGCTTAGATATCACCCTTTTATTTTTACCCGATTTGCTTCAAACTTCATATGTATAATGTAAACATACGGCAGATGTAGACCTGTGAATGGATTCTTGATATCTTTGAAACTGTTGCCGTGGCGACGCATCAAACTTTACCCTTCTTTTAGGATGCTTTTAGGATGCTTTTTGAGACCTTAGCATGCTTCAAATTGCATGAAACTCGACAGACACATCACATTTATTAGCCAGTAGACATGTGCAAAGTTGCAGAAACGGGCGTGGTGAGGGCTCAGTAGCGCCACCTTTTGACAAAAGTGGGGTGGTTAGTTTTAACTACAGTTACAAAAATTGGTATGTATATTGTCTCCTCGAGCCGGACAACTTTCTAATTGACACTTATTAGCTAGGACCCACAGAAAGTCAGATATTTTTGTTTGAATATGGCCACTCTGAGCCTTTGGCTGGCTGGCTGGCTGGCTGGCTGTCTGTGTGTGTGTGTGTGTGTGCAGGGGGAGGGGGCTTAACCATTTCACTGCTGTGTGTATGACCTGCATAAAGAAAATACATTTCTCAAGCCTGGTATTTTTTAAATAAGTTTTATATTTTTATTTTTTATAAGTAAAGGCATATAACTAGTTTAATTGTAGTGAATTGACAATAGTTTATATAATTAGTTTATTAATCAGATTAACTTGGTCAATAAACTTGGTCTGAAAATTTGGTCCATAAATCAAACACACTTGCATGTAATTATGAAACTTGGTACACATATTAGATCTCATCGTTTCATATATACTTCACACTCTTACTTTTTACCCCAGCCCAACAGGAAGTTGGCTATTTAGGGTTGTGTTTAAAACACATGCAATGTAATATTAAATTATTGCTCCTATCCTAGAGCACTGAACCAAATTCGACGAAACTCGATCAGCGTGAAGTCAAGACATTAAGGATGAAAAAGTGCCACGGGATTTTTGATATCTCGAACGGTTTGGCCGTGGCGAGGAAACGAAATTATGGCGAGAAACATGGAACAGGATGTGTGTTATAACTTCAGCATACATTAACTGATCTTGATGAAACTTCAGCAGTGTTTTCGCTGTAAGAGACCGATCACATGGATGTGACTATTGTGAGTCAAAGTTATAGCGCCACCAACTGGCAGCAGGAAGTGTGTCACTTTCAAAATGCCGTGGCAACGAAACAAACTTTAACATTATTTTTTTGATGCTTTTGGGACTCTTAGCTTGCTTGAAATTGCTTGAAACTCAAACAGATACATCACATTTATTAGCCAATAGACATGTGCAACTATGGCAAAAGATTAAAGTAATGTCAAAAAAGTAAACACTAAAAGCCTCATATCTTCTAAAAATGTAATTATACATCATTTGTTTCTAAATTAAATTATACAAATATTATAACTTCCCCAATTTTTCCTTTTTTTTTCATTTAAGAATTGTGTTTACGTTCAAAAACAGCCAGAATTGTTGTAAAATTCATAAAAAAATAATAATCTGAGTCATACGTAGTGCTATACTGCCCTCTTGTGTTCAATATCAGGTAGGCCTATTGTGTATATTCCCACCGGTTAATCAACGTGTGACTCCGCTGGGACTTGGGAGCTTTTAAATCGCTTACTTAAAACCGAAAGTCAAAATACGGATGTCCGCACAAGACATTAATGGTGTGGAGTAGAGCGAGCATTTTAAATAAATTCCTATTAAGTAGGATTGAACTAAACAGAAAGAATGTTCACTCTGTTCTGCTGGTTCCTCGCTGGTGGATCATATGATTACTTTGTCATAATCTATGACAAAAATGCTATTATAAACCATATTAATAATAGATAATACACATTGCTCTTATTTTTGAAAAATACATTCATGAAAAACAAGATAACAAAAATCATTAAAAAAAAATATAGCCATGGCTGCTATAAAGCAACATATAATTGAAAGGCAATTAATAATCTGTCATTACGTCACTGCATTATGATATTACGGCTCCAATACGGTGCAGCACAAAGCACTTATGTGCATCCCGAGCGGAGAATGATGTGCTTGAAGCCACATGAAGTTACAGCGCATTGAGTCCGTATTGAAAAGTTCAAAGCACAAAGGAAATACATATTTATGAACAGTGTATTATACATTATCTATCTATGCAATAGTTTATTGAGCCTTTTCTTTTAAAGGTTTTAAATTTCAGTTACTGTGTGCGTGAAGAACAATTATAGTGCTCTGACTCTAGTGTTGTGACCTAACCGACAGCGTCCGACACCCGGTAGAAAGTAACACGATTAAGTTACAGCAATAAAGTCCAGCAAGAAAAAGTTTCTTCATTCGAAAATATAGACCTTTAGACCTTTATCTTAAAGATCCAGTATAATAGGATTAACATTGAATCATTGAAGATCGTTTCATCATTGACTGTAACCGAATGTGACGTGCTGTTTGAATGCTGAATGGAGAATGACTGACAGGCGCAGAGAGGGAAAGTTTGTGTTCTTGAATTTAATGACTTAAATATTAATTTCTATATCACATAATAGCTTCAGAACACTAATAATACAGTACACAAAAACTTTATGGTACTTTAGAAAGTTTTTGTGCCTTTGTGCCTAACAGAATAGTATATGCACAATATAGAATTTGAATCAGCCTCGTCAAAGATGGCAGTGTCAGAGCCGATACCGATCCTGAGTATCTAATCGGCGCACTTCTTTTCAACAGTCAAATTGAAATTGAAATTGCTTGAAACTCAACAGATACATCACATTTATTAGCCAGTAGACGTGCAAAGTTTCAGAAACGGGCAATGTGCAAGGACTAAATAGCGCCACCTTTTGACAAAAGTGGGGTTGTTAGTTTTATCTACAGTTACAAAAATCGGTATATACATTGTACTCCTCAAGCCGGACAACTTTCTAATACATAGTCATTAGCTCGGACCAAGAGGAAGTCAGATATTTTGGTTTGAATATGGTGAGCCTCTCTCTGAGCCTACGTCCCTGTATGGCAAGCCCTTTTAACATTTAAAAGCTAAGTTTGCCTGTCCGGAATTAACATTGTAGATATCAACAACGTCTTTCTGTCTATTCGTAATTACATTTTGGATAGTTTGTATTATCATTTAAGACATCTGTAACATAATTGTGACTAGTCGAAATGACAGAGTATGGCAAGCCGTTTTAACATTTAATCATAAAAGGGCCAAAGCCTTCGGCACCGCTACCCGGGTGCCTTTAGGTAACTAAAGGAACCGGGGTTGCGGTGCCACCGGCTTGGGCCCGCCATCGCTGCTCGCAGCTATATTTTTAGATTATTCCTCTCAAATGTATCCCATCATTTTGAGATCTATATGGAACACTCGTATTTTACAGAAGTTGGTGCCGTGTGTCATGCCTGTATGCGGGATATGTTTCTGAAAGAGAACTCTTTGTGCTTCCTAATGAAATTGGGAGTCGTACTGAGCATCCATACTTTATAGGACCACGTCACCTTTTATTATACAAGAACACATGCTAAATATGACATTTTTATGTGCTCCATTGGCCAAGCTCCAAACTGTTAGCTTTCATTTAGTAAAGTGACCCAAAGAGCATTTCAATACTTGTTTAGTGTTTTGCTGCTAACATTAGACTCTCTGTTCAGTGCACCATCTGTTTAGCTAATGGAGACTCACAGCTTTGAAAACTTTGCTTCCTTTGTCCAACTTCAATGTGGGTGGCTCTCAGGAAGAATGAAATCTGTTATAGTAGATTATTACACAATATTAAGATGTTCTTACAGTCAAAGCAAGGTATTAGTCTTTAACACAGCTGTTTCTAAAAAGTGAGCCTTTTTAGTGGCATTCAGTCAATTGTGTTACTGGGTTTCAGTGATTTATTGATGTTAGTTTGAGAGCTATACGCAGCTTTGCTGTTACAATATTTGAGCTTTAAAATCCCATAAATTCTCATGTGTTGGACAAGCCCTCTATGCGGACTCTGTTAGCTGCTTGGCAGTCTTCTTTTATAAGAGAAATTTACAAGTCAAGTGCATAGTAAGGTACAGCAGGACCATTCAGCAGAAAGCCTAAAAAATGTGCGTCTCTTTTCCACTACAGTACTAAATCACATGGTTTAGTTCACCTAGGAGGGAAACAATCTGTTTAAATCAGTGCTTCGAATCACTGTGCACCCTGTAAAATAGACACAAAAGCATCAAAATAAATACATGGCAACTTTTATAATAGGCACAATTTTTGTTGTTTTCTTTTGAGTTTTAGAAATTAAGTGTGCATACATACACTAAAAAAGTGAGCTAAAAGATTTAACATTAGATCTGTGCCTTGTGCTTCTCCTCTTGCAGTATTTAACGGCCAGGCGCGAACTGCAGAGGTACACAGAGGCAGTTTGAGAGCCAGAGGGAGAGAACGGGTCCATGGGAAGGAGAAGAACTCTGTAGCATCAGTAAGGACATCCACTACACACAATCTACGACCCAACAGGGCTGTGCAAGAACAAAAACAACAGGTAGGAATAGATGTATAGATTTTACTTTTTGTTTTGTTGTTCAGAATTGTATTTTTGTGTTGTGTTCTCAGGTTCTCAACTTAAATTTCCCCTCCATAATTTTGAATGAGATAAAGAAATATTTCCCATATCTCAAAATATTGTTCGGTCAACTGCAAACCACCAACTGTCAAACATCATCCAGACGTCCCAATCCCTTGAGCTGGCTAGCAGAGAAATTGACCACATGTTCAAAATCATATTAGTTGTCTAACACAATAAAGTTGTTCATTCCAAGAGAAAATTACAATCAAATTTAGATCTTAAAGTCCCCTTGCAGACAATAATTGTATCTCTTATAACTCATGTTTGATCACCAAAATGACATTTAAAAAAAAAAATGTGTGTAAGAAATTTCTTCATGCCTTAAAATAGCTTGAATGTAACTCTACGCCCTTGCTTCATTTAGTATACATGGAACCATGAAAATGCAAATTAGCCCCGCCTCCGCTCACTCGCGCTAGCTCAGAGATCCACTCTGTCAACTTACTGTAGTAAAGGCAGCACAAATGGTGTCGCTCTTTACAACGTCGGACACATAATTGTAATTATTATGATAAACCTTTTGGTTGACTATGTTGTCAAACAGCTAATAATGTGTCGCTAATGGTACACAAACCATGTTCCCATTCCCCATCTCAGTCTGCCTTCTAAAATCAGCATCCTTTGATATGCTTTGAAGAACAACTCAGAACGTCAGTGGAGAAAGGCATATAGTTCATCATAACATCACAACATACATCATACACCTTCATATTAACAGAAAAAATACCGGGATAACCTGGCTTCTCTTGAGACTCCCCTGCTTCACAACATAGTGATAATAGACTAAAGCCCACTGGCACATTGATGTGATTGGTTACAGTGACGTCAGAAACTTCAGCGATTTCAAACCGTGTTTTTGAGACCGTCTTTAGATCACTGTCTGCAGTTTTAAAGAGAAAATACTCAGCAAAATTGTTGACTTGTGCTTTAAGACAAACCATGTGCATATTCATATTAAAAACACCACATAAACGTATAAACACCACCACACCAGAGGGGGGCTTTATAGGGATAGTTTACCTAAAAATTTAAATTCTGTCAGTAATTACTCACCCTCATGTTGTTCCAATCGTGTAAGACTTTTGTTCATCTTCTAAACACAAATTAAGACATTTTTGATGGAATAGAGCTGATGAAGAGAGCTGTCTCACTCCTTCATAGGCTACTAGGCAATTTCATTCTGCCGGTTCAGAAAAGTCATCGTTAAAATAAAACATTGTTAAAATAGTAAAAATATTGTTAAAATATAGTCCAAGTGACTACAGTGGCTCAACATAAAGTTTATCAAGTGACGGGAATACTTTTTGTGTGACAAAACAAAAAAAAATAATGACTTTATTCAGCTATTCATTTTCTCCGTGTGGACCTCTGAGTGAGTTCACGAGAGCGCCAGATGCATGCGCGAAAACTGAGAAGATGTCACGATCATTTGATGGGAAAGTGTGAAAGGTAAGCCATTCATTTTGCGGCTTTGGTAAGGCACTTTTACATTTTCTCGTTGGATTCTCACAATTCGGACATGCACACTTTAGAACCATTTTAAACACTAAGTTACATCAAGACTCTTCTGCATGAACTCACGTCAGAGGCCCACACGAAAGAAAATGAATAGTTGAATAAAGTTGTTATTTTTGTTTGATTTTTGCTCACAAAAAGTATTCTCGTCACTTGATCAACTTAAGGTTGAGCCACTGTAGTCACTTGGACTATTTTAACAATGTTTTTACTAACTTTTCTGGACCGGCAGAATGAAATTGCCTAGTAGCCTTTGAAAGAGTGAGAGCTCTCAGAATTTCATCAAAAATATCTTAATTTGTATTCCGAAGATGAACGAAAGTCTTACAGGATGGAAACAACATGAGGGTGAGTAATTACTGACAGAATTTTCATTTTTGGGTGAACTAACCCTTTAAGAAAGTATGTTTTGTTGTCAAGATAACAGGAAATGAATTTGTGGTGACAGCAAACATAAAAAGCATGGGCTTTAAATGTATAAATGTTGAATATAATTAATTTTATGACAGATCCTGCTTCTTTCTAGGAGCCACATAGCCAGCTTACAATAGCACGTTATAATTGAGAATCTCTTATTGTGGTAAGCCTTATTTTCACATGCTGATATTAGTTGCAGTTATACACCACAATATATTCGTAGCTGATCTCTGAAAGACCATTACTGTAAGTGAATGAGGAATATAAAAAATAAAAATTGTTCACCACTTTCAAGAAATACTGGATGCCCTCCCCCCTCCAACAAACACACACACTATTATATTCAGTGCTTACAGTGTCATTTGCTAGTATTCCTGTCTGCTAATTCAGCCAGTTCAGACTATGTAGACCAATGTGTGTGTTCATCAAAATTTCCTCCTCCCCTTCTGCCAGGGCGTTCTATGGACTCCGAGCAACATACGGTTAGCTTTACCCTTCCCTACTATCCTGCAGCAGGCCTATAGCAACACATGATGTCATCTCTCCTCCACCCAACCCCCCCTCTCTCACTCCACACACAATCAAAACCAGTGGAGTGTGGAAGTACCACATTTACTCTGGACTGTGTCCCATTTTTGTAAACATTAACTGTCTCTCTGTGGTGGACCATTTGTTGATCTGTTGGGGTTTCTGTCAAGAACTTTGGTTTTTGAGACAAATTAATTTTCTCCCATCCCCCACCACATGCAGATGGAACATACATGGCCCTGGTCACGTGCGTGAGCTCCCTAAAGAATGAAAGAACTGCTCCACTGAGCCCCCTAGTGGAAGAACGTGGTCACTCTGAGAATGAATAATGCTGTTATGTATTGAATTTGAGGAAGTAATGTATGCTTCTTCTGTTCAACAACACTCTCAGCCCTTGCCTAATCATCAAAATGTCAAACTCATGTTTTAGCACTGTGTTGTGGGCTAGCACTGTGTTTACTGTGGCTCTAATAGTGACAGGATCATGGTTTTATTTCCAGGGTAATGCATATGCTGATTGAATTGAGATGTAATTTATATTGGATAAACATGTCAAATGCATAAATGCAAAGATTAGGGTCAATGACATGACACTCATTTTTAATATTAATATTAAAATGGCAGTTTATTCATACAGGGACTTGAATGCACCTCTATGGTAAGCATCTTTTATTTTCTGTATTAAAATAAATATTTATATATTTTTGGGGAGAATAAATAGGGGAAACATAATATTTATTGTTTATTATTTATTTATTTATTGTTATTTTAACAAAACAATTAATATTAATTTATTGTTGTTTGTCTGCAAAACCAAAGTCATGTGATACAACCAACATGTAGAAACATAAAAAAGGCATAAAACAGGAAATTATATCATAAAGAAGACCCCTGTCAGTAAGTCTCTTAAAATATTGACAAGGCAAAGTTAGTCCAGGATGTAAAATGTGGTGTGCTTGGAATATTTAAAAATGTGATATTTATGAACTAATAATTAATTACATTTTAAAATATTTTCTTTTAATATGATGGTTAAACCCCAAGAGTCAGTCAATTTAAACTTTTCTCGAATTTTTTTTTCTAAAAACTTGTTACATTTTAAACCAGATAAAATAAAATAAAAATAGAAAAATGACACTGCTCTTGAAGTATGGTGTACAGTTTTGTACAGTGTAAATAAATATACATAACAATTCTTTTTGTCATCCCTCAGCCCTCCAAAATGAACGGAACATCGGGAGCCTCCGCTATCAGTACTAGGAAGACGAGAGAACTCCGTACTCCCCCGACCAAAGCTGTGAAATACCCCAAGGGCCATGTGACTTACACCAAAGCCAGACTGCTCAAAGAGGCGAAGCTCAGCCTGAGCGCGCACACACAGACACACACACGCCACACCCACACGCACTCCAACTCAGGAAAAGCCCAAACCAGCCACGCCAAGATGCAAAAACAGGTGCTATCACCAGCAATCGCTGGGAGGCTGTGTGGGACGGACACTTTCCCACCCAGACGAAACGGACTGAGACAGTCAAAGAGGCAGTTGGAGCAGGCCGGGGTTAGTCTGACTGGACCAGAGGTCGAGGTTAAGAGACTCAAACTGCAAGTGGTCCCCTTGGAGACACGGAGTAGGAAAGCAGCTCAGGAGATGCCGGGATCAGGATCGCAGCGGCCCAAACGGGCCAAGGCGGGGAAGCTCATGTTCACCAAACAAATGCACTGTAAAGCCACCGTTCTGGCCAAGAACAGCCCCACTACCTCAACACGAGACATTTCGAAACCAGCCAACTCCCCCAAACTATCAGAGACCACCAAAACAAGCAATGCTCTAAAACAAGGCAATCCTTCTAATACGACTGAGTCCCTCAACTCAGCTGAGCCTAAAGAGCGAGGCCGGCGCAGTGCGGAGGGAACGGAGGTTCCCGTTTTCTATCCCGGCACACGCGAGTTCCACGACCCGCTAGCTTACATGGAGTGTGTGCGGGCACAAGCGGAGGCGATCGGGGTGTACCGGGTTGTTCCACCAGCGGGCTGGCATCCCGAGTGTAAGCTCAAAGAGGAGATGCGCTTCGTCTCGTACGTGCAGCATGTGCACAAGCTGGGCAGACGCTGGGGCCCGAATGTACAGCGGTTGGCCTGCATCAGGAAACACCTGCGGACACAAGGCATTAACATGGAAGAGCCTCCACTTATAGGTATGAAGTGCTGCACAAGATCCAAAGCAACGTTTTGTGGGCATACTGTATTTGACAAGTCTAAGTGTTGGGGAGTTTCAAACTAAAACTAACTAGTGTGAGATAGTGTAGCTTAGCTATATTGTTGTAGTGTAAGTAGTCTAGCTTTTCATATGTAACATGGTCAAGTCTGATTCATTGTAGTGAATCCTCTCTATCAAATGTAGAATTTGACTGTATAGTGAATCAGTTTGCCTAAAATGCTTCTCTCTCACACATGATTCATTTGTGGTGAATCAGTACGTAAGAAATGGGGGGAAATAAAGCATTGTCCATTTAAAGGGATAGTTCATTTAAAAAAAAAAATTCATATCATCATGTACTCACCCTCAAGTTGTTTCAAACGTGTATGAATTTCTTTCTTCTGCTGAACACAAATGGAGATATTTTGAAGAATGTCAGGAACCAAACAGTTGGACCCATTGATTTCCATATGAAACTACAATTAGCTACTATGGAAGTCAATGGCATCCATCAACTGTCTGGTTACCGACATTCTTCAAAATATCTCCTTTTTTTTGTTCAGCAGAAGAAAGAAATTCATACAGGTTTGAAACAACTTGAGGATGAGTAAATGATGACAGGATTTTCATTTTTAAGTGAACTATTTCTTTAAGGGAACCCTGGCTTTAGTTTGAAACATTTAAAAGTATGAATTATTCTAGTGAATCGGTTTGTCGTAAATGCTCCTCTCTTTCATATGTAGCATTAGGAAGTCTGATTCATTCTATTCGAATCCAGTTCTTTTATAACAGAAAATAAGTTTTAATTAGCTTCTATTTTATTTATTTGTGTGTGTGTTTAGTGTGAATTTATTAGATTAAGTTTAATGTTTGTTGTCACCCCAACTAAGATGTTTATTCATTACAAAACACTTTTTTTAATATAAATTATATCATCACTTTAAATTAAAATAGATAAAAAAATTATTAATTTAAAACTGCATTAATTACATTTAAAACGAAAACTTCAAATTCTGATTTGTATGTAGCTTAAGATGCTGCAGTTTCAAAGTAGCTTTCTTAATACTGGTCAAAGGCATAACATATTACACAGGGCCTGATCATTTTTTATATCTATAACTATATTGCATTACGTTATATTATCTGTTAAATCCAGTCTTGAGTCATGGATTTGATTGGATTTATTTTATTCTGTATTAACATTCAGATACATTTAGGATCTCATCTGTCTTCATTTGTATTTTAATTGCATATCTATTGGTCATTCCGGCATTGACTGTCCAGTTTGGACAGATTAGTGAGCTCATGTTTGAGAGGGCAGCTTCCTTTGAGATCAAGACGTCTCAGTCTGGTCTCTTGTTGACTGAATGGGGAAAACCATCAGCAGTGCTGCCTTCTTGCCAACCTCAAATCCTTCTTTAGTTTCAATGTGCCACTCAAACAGCGACAAGTCTGGCACGACCGTAAGCTGTTTGAATGACTGTGACTAATGGATAATGTGTGCACACATTTACAGATAAAAGTGAAGCAAAATTAAAGAGACTGCAATATTGAGTGACCTATTTGTATTCTTTTTGCTTCCTGTTAGGTGGCTGCGAGCTGGACCTGGCCAGATTCTTCCAGATCCTAAATGAGATGGGGGGCATGCAGCAGGTGACAGACCTGAAGACATGGGGGCGGCTCGCCGATCTGCTGGGCATCCCGCGCTCGGCCCAAGACCGGCTGGCCAAACTTCAGGAAGCGTACTGCCAGTACCTGCTCTCCTACGACTCCCTGTCACCAGCCCAGAGGGCCCAGTTGGAGAAGGAAGTGATTGCAGAAAAGGAGAGCCTGGAGAGGAGAAGTGGGCCTCTAGAAGGCCATGGAGACTCATCCCAGCATGCCGCTCTTCTGCTTCCACGCTGCGAGCCCAAAAACGGTCTTGTGAACGGAGCGTTGCACCGGAGCGGAGTGCGCGAGCACCTCAGAGAGCTGGACCCCACGACGAAAACCACCCGGCAGAGAAGACTAGATAAGAGAGGGGAGGAAGAAGGGATGTTAAGTGAACTATACAAGTGCATATACAGGGTAAATCTGCATACTTTTGGGATTGTCATATTCAAAAACATTTTTGTTAAGCATCAGTGTAGACGTTCAGTGTTTGTCTGTCGTTCTCAGGGGAAATCGTTCTCTTTGACTACGTTCTACAGGGCGGCCAGGAATACTATGAACATGTGCTTCAGCAAAGAGCCAGACACTGCTGAGGTTGAGGTACGTCTTCATGTTGACAAGCTATAGTTCGCTTTGATGAGCAGGAATCAGTGATTTGTTCGGGTCATGTTATGCCCTCTTCTGACTCTGTTGCTACAGAAGGAGTACTGGAGATTGGTTGAGGAAAAGGAATGCCATGTTGCTGTGCACTGTGGGAGAGTTGACACTAAGACTCATGGGAGTGGATTTCCTGTGGGCAAGTCTGAGCCATTTTCAAAGTAAGGGTTTAGAAAAATATCAATATTTTTCAATAAGTTTGTATTTATTAGCATTACTTAATGCAATTACCTACTATATTTTTCATTTTATATTGTTATGTTATATATATATATTTAATTTTCATTACAGTGTTGTTGTACGAGATGCTATAATAAATAATTTGAAGTAAATTCAGGCATCTCAAGATTATAATGGACAGTATGAAAAACTTTGACCACACCTTAAATTTGAAATCTAAGTATAAAAGTAAGCAAAATGAGCAGGCACGATTTAATGTCCAATATTGTCTATATATACTGTATATATATATGATGTAAATTAACATCATTAACATTTATAATTTCTATTTTATTCTAATTTTAATACAAGTAATATTTTTAGTGCTTGAAAAATACAAACTTATAGTAAAACCTAGATAATTAAAAAAATAATAATAATTTAACCCTGCCAGTGGTGCATAAAATATTGTTTGGATGACTTTGATTTGTTTGTCTTGTACTCAAGGCATGGATGGAATCTTACTGTCCTTTCCAATAACTCAGGATCTATTTTACGTCATCTTGGTGCTGTGCCAGGTAACGCCCCAAAATGTTCATGCGTACAATAAAACACCTTGATGATCAAGAGTTAAATTATATTCACATTCTAGATCATTTAGAACATTCTGTTTGTGTTTGTATGAAGGAGTGACCATCCCCTGGCTGAACATAGGCATGGTCTTTTCTACCTCGTGCTGGTGTCAGGACCAGAACAGCCTTCCGTATATCGATTACCTACACACTGGTGCTGACTGCATTTGGTAAGAGTTTTTTTGTCATTCTTTACAGCTGGTATAAACTGAACCTCTATGGCATATTCCGTATTGAGTGTGTCTTTTGTCTTCAGGTACTGTATTCCAGCTGAAGAGAAATCAAAACTTGATAAAGTAGTACACACACTGCTACAAGCTAACGGCACTCCAGGGCTGGAGATGCTAGAGAGGAATATTATGGTAAGAGTTGAACACTGGGTACTTCTGAGTAACATTTTTTTTCCCACAGTGCCCTTGTTACACATTACTGGTAAGAGGTGAATATTGAACATTGGGTACTTCTGGGTAACAGTTTTTTTTTTCAGTGCTCTTTTTGCACGTTACTGTAGTGAAAACTATAAATTATGCATAATTCCATGCAACTAACTCTAAACCACAGCCTAATCCTAACACTATAGTAAGTACATGTAGTTGATTATTATTACTCAGTAATTAAATGTATAATTACACTGTAACACAGACACCTTAAAAGTAATAACAGTAATAACAGCTTTACAGTAATAACAGGAAAATGCATTTCGGCTGTCAGTTCAGTTCCGTTGCGAAGGTCATCAATTATTAATTTATTTAATTTAACCTATAAAGCAGTTCTGCCAAAAATTATGTAATCGTACAGTTCAGTTCAGTTCTCATAAAACAGCGTTAGTACAGTCAGATCAATAATACTGTTGGTATTAGGTTAGGTTTCTCTTAAAAAGAAAACTTCACTCAAAAATAGACATTTGTCATCATTTCCTCAACCTCATGTCTTTGTTTAAATGTATTTCTTCTGTGGAACACAAAAGAAGAAGTACTGTTTTTGTCCATAATGAAAGTATGGTGAATGGGACCCAAAAAAACATTGGACCCCACTGACTTAATCAAGACATTTTTCAAAATTTTAACTTTTGTGTTCTGTAGAAAATTATTTTGATGACAAAATTAGCATTTTCTGAACCCCACTGGTTTTCGTTTTATGGACAAAAGTACAGAGATATGTTTCAAAATATCAGATTTTGTGTTCTGTAGAAAACTTCAAAATTGATGACAATGTTTATTTTTTGGACCCCACTGACTTTCATTGTGTGGACAAACTATCATATATCACATTTTGTGCTCTGTAGATAGCTAAAAAAAAATCTTTTGGTTAACTTTCCCATTCAACTTACTGTCATTCTGTACTGAAGAATGTGGTATGACGTGATTTCCAATGACAGATTTCTCCAGAGGTGCTCCGTCGAAAGGGGGTGAAAGTGTACCGGACAGTGCAACAGAGTGGTCAGTTCATGGTATGTTTCCCAGGGACCTTTGTGTCTAAGGTGTGTTGTGGCTACAGTGTCTCAGAGACTGTGCACTTCGCCAACCCCCAGTGGATGAAACTGGGCTACGAGGCAGCTAAGGTGAGAGACTCGACGCATGGACGGACAAAGCCAGCTGGAACTTGACTTGGTTTAACTCAAATAGAGCTGTATTTTTGTAAGTGAGGTTTTGCCTAATTCCGGCGGGAGTTCGACGCTTCCTTTGACTTTCTTGTGTGTCGCGTTTGCTTTGCAGGACCTTAAACGGCGTCGTATAGAGGAGCCTTTCTCCACAGAGAAACTGCTCTACCAGATCACTATATCCGAGCGGGACAACAAGCTGCTCATGAATGCAGTCTCCAGTCTCATCAAAGATCTCAGGTCTGTCTGAAACACATCCTACAGTCTGGTTTTGTACTTATTGAGTTCAACTGGCAGAAACCCGGCCAAAATCGAATTCTTTTCTTTGATGACCATTGTTTTTGTAATTGCGTGTTGGTTGAGGTTGGTTGAGTTGAGTAAAAGAGGTTTTAGAGGTTCATCGATATTAAAGTTTTTATTTATCTGACATATCATGGTTATTACCGTTAATTACGGAAAAAATGAAATAATCTATTATAATGAAATAATGAAATATATATATTAACAAACTATTATAATCTATCTATAAATTACAGGAACGTCTGTGTGTGTGTGTGTGTGTCTGTTATTCGCATATCTCTCGAACCGTTAGTCCGATGGATCTCAAACTTGACAAGTGTCTTGCTACGGGCACGAGTAAGTGCAGTGCTGAGTTTGACATTGTTTGGATTAGAAATGCAAAAGATATTGGTAAATATATCTGTAATAGAAGCACACATTGAAGTTGTGGTTTAAAAATAAACATTCTAACAGAGAGGTTTGTGGTTTAAAAATTGTTCTCATTCTTATTCATTTGTTAACTGAATCTGTAAGTCAGCTACGCTGTTTGGTGTACGCAGTCTCTTTCACGGCCATCATTTGTAGATGCATTTTTGCTTTTTTATTTTTTTATTTATTTTTGCCATCATTTGTAAATGCAATTGCAATTGTTTTGCACAAATGCAAAAGCACCAAACCAACAGTTGCTAAAAACACACACACAAAAATTATTTTGCACGGGCATTTTGCACTAGTGGTAATAAACAAAAAGTGCAGTCTATTTAATATATATCTCTTTATTTCATTACAAAACACATTTTATGAAAGATCTTCAACATCAACTTAATCTAAAAAAAAAATTGTGTTGAAAAAATAATCCAGTTAAATTCAGCTACCAAGTTAGTGGGGTTTGTAGAAGTAACAATGCGCATCAAAGGAATATTATTATTATGCATTCATTCTCATACAATTTTCATGTTTAAAAATAAAAAAACTGGATAGAAAACCAATCTGTGTTGTTTAAAACAGACTAAAGAACAAACAACACTGGTGGATCATTCAGTATTAACACATACATCATGGATGAGCCCCTTCTTCATCTTAGATTACTGTGTTTGAAGGGTGAAGAAACAGTTTTTGTCAGGAGTGTGACACAGAAACACGTCACATTTCATGCACTTGACCTTGATTATGCAATTTTCACAGAAGACAGACCAGTGGTCTATCTATGCGGTCCAAGTGGACTTAGGCCAGGGGTAGAGGTGCAGTTGTGTCTTTTTTTCTGGTCTAAACTGGACACTCAGAGATGGACGTCCCCTCATAGGCTATGCCTATACTTACAGCTGAACTGTCGTCATAAATATTGTTATTGTTTATGAGTATTTTAAAATTAAAATAAAAACAAGGCGCATACTGACAAATACTTAAATAAGTCTTGGTATCCTTTCATCTGTGTGAAATGTTATATTGCTGATAAAATTGTATTGCTAACTAGCATGAAAACAGGGAATTCTCATTCCACTGTTGCATATTGTTGCTTTGAGGCAACATAGCTCTTTTACCCATTTACAAAAGAAATATTAAATGAAAACATAATCAACAGAGTGAAATTAAATCAGAACTTACCCCAAATTGTGAAAATATTTTTTTATTTCTTTGAAATCCTAAGGAAAATGTCACTTTTTCAAAGTTTTGTGGAGCTGAAAAAACATGGCTGAGTGCAGGTGAGGAAAAGACATTGAAAAGGGGGTTGGACAAGTCATTTAATCAAAAACCTGCATTTTAATTGTCTTTTCATACTTCCTCCAGATTAAAATAAGCTCCTTTTTTTGGTGTATAATCTTGTAAGCCCGAGAAAATGAAAGAAAATGGGTACGTTACCCTGAAGCAACACGGCGTAAATGCTACGTGGGATCTCAATATCTCAGCTCTGGAAGGGTCTAGAGCCTCCATTTTTGCACTCAGGTCTAAGTCCCATGGCCCTCTATCAGAATCCAGAGTTTCAAGAAGATCAGAGAAACTCAAAATTTCGACCCAAAAAAAAAAAACCGACAGTGGTACCCCTGTCGTTTTTTTTGTTTTTTTTTTGGTGCGAAAAAATAAGTTTCTCTAATCTTCTTGAAACTCTGGATTCTGATAGAGGGCCATGGGACTTAGACCTGAGTGCAAAAATGGAGGCTCTAGACCCTTCCAGAGCTGAGATATTGAGATATTTATAATGGCATAAATGCTACGTGGGATCTCAATATCTCAGCTCTGGAAGGTGCTAGAGCCTCCATTTTTGCACTCACGTCTAAGTCCCATGGCCCTCTATCAGAATCCAGAGTTTCAAGAAGATTGGAGAAACTTATTTTTTCGCACCAAAAAAAAAAAACGACAGGGGTACCACTGTCGTTTTTTTTTTGGGGTCGAAATTTTGAGTTTCTCTGATCTTCTTGAAACTCTGGATTCTGATAGAGGGCCATGGGACTTAGACATGAGTGCAAAAATGGAGGCTCTAGACCCTTCCAGAGCTGAGATATTGAGATATTTATAACCCTCTATTGCATGATATATGAAATAATAGAGAAAAAAAATATTTCCACTCATTTTATTACCAGTCATAGAGCATATTGAACAATTCAACACATAATTTACAAAAATTATAATAATAGGGGGTAGATCTAGGTATGTTACTTTGGCGCAACAACATGCAATAATCTATCTATAAATTACAGGAACGTCTGTCTGTGTGTGTGTGTGTGTGTTTGTATATATGGTTTACAAGGACAAAATGTCAGGTTACTCACCAGCATTATGAGGACACATAGGTTTATGAGGACACTTCAGTGTCCCCGTAATTCCGAGGTCATATATGTTATTTTAAGGCATAAATTAATGCCTATATTAAGTTTTTTCATTTTCAAAAAAATGACCTTATATACCATGATGTGTATGTGTATGAATACAACTATGACCTTACATACCATGATGTGTATGTGTATGAATACAGCTATGACCTTACATACCATGATGTGTAAATGTAAATAGTCCTCTCATACCAGGTAATGATTTTGGTGTAGTATGTACAAAATATTGAGAACACTATAACACAGACACTGTTATTACAATTTGAAATGTAAGAGGCTATGACTAAACATTTAATTTTGCTATTGGTGAGAACAGACAAACACCTGTGTAGTGGTGTTGTAAAAATGATAACTGCTAATTTTTTCAAGATTTTGATAGCTTATTTTATGTACTTGCCGGCTTTTTTATCATTCAAATTTGGCTGGGTGGCTAATTACACATTTTTCTGTGGTGTGACAAACTCAGAACACATACTTAATTTTGACTTTACAGGGACTTTAATGTATACAGTATGCATTGACATGTAATTGAGCATTTTGAAAGACTGCTTATGTGTTGTGTATGTGTCAATTTTTATAAACAACACAGCCAATGACATTTGCGGCTGGGGAGACTAGACTTATTTTCTACTGTTTAGTGTTAAACTCAGCCGTAAAGAGATTTAGCCTTAGATGCTATATGAATATAGTCCCTGAAGCACAGTTTTTTTCAGCTGACAATATTCTCTGCACATTTAAAAGTGCACATTGCAACTATAATTAACAATAATGGAAAGCTGAGGCTTGTCAGTATTAACAAAGTCCTTTTAGGCAAGTCGTGCCACTCGGCCGCCATCTTGGCAACGCCTCCGGGCAGCTATTTCGGACTGAACAAGACCAGGCTCCTATCTAAATGAATGGGCAGAGAGTCAGAACTACACTTTCACTGGTCACCGGGACATAAAAACTGCATGTGTAGAAACAGCAGTAAAATATAATAAAAATCGCTGAAAAAGTTTGATGACTTTGCCCCAAAATAAGGTTTAAAAATCCTTTCCCCACAGGTTATAATTTTACTGCGCATGCGCAAGGGTTCTCTCACTCTCTGCCGTGCACGCTACACGGTTTGAAACACAGTATGTGCGCGCGCTTTTGCTCGCTCGCTCTAGATTTCGGGAAGTTTGAACTAATTTGCGGGATCAGCGAGCCGCTATCAATCTGCGGGTGACACCCGGGACTTCTGGGAGACTTGAGATGTCTGATACTGTATTTACACAACACATACAGTGCATATCAAATCTGCCGCCTTTTCAAACAGTAATGTATTTTCCGCTGTCACAAACCTCAACTGTGCGCATGCGTCGGTGGAACCAGACGATAGGCTTAAATGTTTCCCGGCTTGACTGTTAAAAGCAGACGATTGGCTTTCCAGCCGGAGGGGCGGGGCATGTGCATACAACTGCCATCTTTGGCGTTACAGGTTTTCCCTATATAGTAGTATTAAGGATTGAGGAAGTGGCATGTCTCTATATAAATAGTCTCTGTTATTAACTAGCCTCCGTTTACAATAGGCACTTAACTGAAATAACTAGGCATCTTAAATAATAAATAACTACAGAACTGGCTAACTAAAATCTGCTTATGCACTGGAGAAACTGACACTCTGTGCATGCACACATTATAGGCCTATCCAAGTGACATGAGCCCACTGTATGTTTGAGAGCGTGTCAAGTTTTGTGCTACAGTGAAGTAAATTCACTGAGAGATTCGTACTCGGTCTTTACATGGATGTGACCCCTGCCGTCTGTCATTAAATTAACACCATAAACGGTCTCTTGCTACCTAAACTATGCTACCTTTACTTATCAGATAATGTTATGATAGCATCAGGCTCATTTTCTGTACCATGGACAGCATATGTGTTTGTCGTGCAATTTATACGCGAAAGTGAGTTTTTACGTGCATATGATACGCATGGGTAGGTTTAGTGTGGGGAACGTACTGTATGATATGTTTGGATAGAATTAGTGGTGTGGGGTGTATAAAATGGACGTGAAAATTGCATATATGCATGTAAAATTGTGTTTTCATTCTAAATGAAGTATAGCATTATTTACAAACCAATTATTTAGTTGCAGTTTTCAGTGATTCTAGGATCACTGTGTGATGAAGCCTATTAGAATACAGTTAGAATTGACCTCAGGGTTTTACCTGGGTCAAAATTGGTCTTCAGTCTTCCTTTCTTGCCCTCTTTTTTTGTGATTTTTCACTGGATTTCATAGCTTTGTAAGATAAAATCCTTCTTTGCTATACCTAATAATT